CATCATCGACAGAGGTTCGGTCATTTTTAAAACGTGAATGCCACACCAAAGTTTGCGGACTCCCCAAATGCTTGCTTTAGGATTTCATAGGTTTCCGTAGCCGTTTTGGCGAGTCTTTGGCCAAATTTGATGCACACGCCATTCCGAAATCGCAGGAGGGTCGGTGTAATGCACTACCAAAACGCCCGTAACTAAGAAACAAATGCTAATTCGATGATGCCGGCTGGCACACTGATTCACTATGAATGTAGGCCGCACCCGCTAAAGGCAGAAGCTCGTACTACATCCGGTTCGCCCTCTATTGACACAGTCTTGAAACTTTCCGATCGCACCTCGTATGTTAATATTATCTTTTGATTTTTTTTACTTACTTCGCGTGTCACCAGAGGTACGCCGGTCTACAGCATTATCACAAACATGTTCGTCAAAGATAACTAGGAAGTAATTTGTGCCGACGCGGGATACAAAGATAAAAATTATGACATGGGAATGTTGGAATGGGATTCAATTGCCTGTGAACTGATGGTTCAAACTAATGAAAAATATTCAACTAACGAAAAGAAACAAGTATTTTATCTTCGTCGCAAGTGGTGATGAGGGTTTCTCTCAGCACTGGCACATTTTTTAAAACCATACTCGAAGTACAAATTAACACGTGATGAAAGAATATTTAATTATTTATTAGCAGAAACAAGCAACAAAACCCAAAAATATTTTTTTTGTTTATTACGTTCATAATAAAAACTTTCTCACATATGCATGGTTATGATTCCTGAAACCGTAAGCTACATCGCAACTGACGCCCGTTCGTTGGCGTACAGGGGAGTTACAACGCATCCAGTTAGTCCAGAAGTGTTCTGGAATAAACAGGGAGGCAGAGAGAAAGCGAACTCAGGTGTGAGCATAAATTCGGCGCTACAGTACTGAAAATAACAAAGCCATTTATATAGCCCCAGTGCGTGACAAACGACGGTTTCCTACTATTATCCAGTCAGTTCGGTAGCTCGCTAAGACATTAAATTCATAACCTTCAAACCCCCATCCCGCTAACTGAAAAAAAAACACGGAAAATAAAAAAAATTGCTTCGGACTTCTGGGAAGGAGCAACTTACAGGGGAAGTTCCCGACCACTTTCAGAACATCCGCCTGCCAACCCATCGAAATCACTTCAGCCAACGAAGTTTGAATATACGAAATCGTGAAGGGCGTTCCAAGAAGATCACAGACGTATACTTAATTACCAACTGATTAAATTATCTTTCTTTCTTACTTACCTCTGTGAATGTAGTTCAGTTAGCAAAAATAATAATACAGTCCGGATGTCTTAAGATAAGGCAGTCTTAGAATTTAAAGGACTTGAAGTTTTCACGGCGAAGAGTATGCAGATGGCTGTCTTCTGGGTTGTTGCGCTGTGTAGGCTGGTAGATATTTACCGACCTTTCAGAGGTCATACTGCCTCCATCATCAGGGCGATGAGTATGAAGATGTCTGTCTTCTGGGTTGTTGCGCTGTGTAGGCTGGTAGATATTTACCGACCTTTCAGAGGTCATACTGCCTCCATCATCAGGGCGATGAGTATGAAGATGTCTGTCTTCTGGGTTGTTGCGCTGTGTAGGCTGGTAGATATTTACCGACGTTTCAGAGGTCCTTGCTACCTTCATCATCAGGGAGATAGTTCTGATGATGGAGGCAGTATGACCTCCGAAACGTTAGTAAACATCGACCAGACTACACAGCGCAACAACCCAGAAGACAGAAATCTTCATACTCATCGCCCTGATGATGGAGGCAGTATGACCTCCGAAACGTTGCTTAACATCGACCAGACTTGGACGTGGATTACACGGCATTCAAATGTATTTCAAACAAAGGGCAACCAAGGATGTAGTGTAGCGCTCTTGTGAGCACGGCGATGTACACTCTGTGGAATAGAAATCAAGCCGGAAGTGATGTAACGGTACAGCTTAAACGTCATTCATGATCTCCTTTATTTGTTATTACGAGACTTTCTTCTGCCTTCCATTAATTACATTTATGTCAAGCATGTACGGAGTAAAGGCAGCAACTTGATTTCCTGGCTTGTGTATAAGCATTAATTACTGGTGATGATATTTACGAGACTTGGGACTATTTCCTACGGCGAAGCTGCGTATCTATATCCGGCAGTAGGTAAGTTATTAGCGTAGGAGAATAACGTTGGCTTTCGAAGGCTCGTGCCAACACATGTTTATTTCTGTTTAATGCACGTGCTGCATTCGCACAAATGACTATTCAGAATATCCGTTTAGAATTCATATCAAGAACAACTGATTGCAGAGAAACGCATGACTGGAATAATGGCAAAAGCGTCTTTGGTCTTGGGATCTCGAGAAGTTCACACATGCGCCACTTCTTTTGCGCTCAGAGAACCTCCGGAGTCCGACAAGAAACGAGCACCTTCCTGACCACCTCGCTGGCTATTAGCTTCCGAAGCAGAGCCATGTGTCACGGAACATTGTTCTTTATATTTTATTTTTTATTTAGTGTTCTGTCTGACGACAGGTCCATATGAACAGGATCCTTCCATCCTTTTCTCGGACTGGGACCTGTTCATATACGTTCTTGGCAGATGATCCAGAAGGGGTTTGCCATTGCCTTCTTCTGTGTGTAAATGGAGTAATTGTTGGGATGCCACAGAGGAAAACTCCGTGTTGCCTAGACCACGGCCTTGCCCAACACAAGTTATAAATTCGGGCACCGCCGGGAATCGAACCCGAGACCCCAGGATTACAAGGCCAGCGTTCCAACCGCTAGACCACAGTGGCATTTGTTCTTTATATAACCAAAATAAATTATACTTTTCGTGTACATGATTTATTTTTGTTGCTGTATCCACAAGTAAATACACTAATATATATTCCCATAGGTACCAATACATTGCATGAATACAGTAAGAGATAGAACATACTAGATTTAATTTAATTAACAGTCACAATATGTGATATATTAATTTATAGGATAAATTCAATATGTTTTGCTTTGTTTAAATATGAAGAAGCAGACTTGTTAAGAGCTACATTTAGTGACATTCTTAGGGCTTTCTGAATGGACCAAAATCAACATAATATTTACAGTAAAATTAATATAAGTTACTGTTACACTATCGTGACATCTAATTTCCCACACGTTCTTCTCAGACTACAACTTTAACAGAAATGATGACAGATGTAAAACTTCTTACTGTGAGATAATTATGACTCAGGGATAGTAAAACAGTGAGACCAATGCTTAAACTTGGTCACTTGAACCCCACTGATTCCTTATTAAAGCAGCTGCCTTTTCGGCGATCATGTAGATAGGGGTAGTGATGTGACCAGACGGAATTAGTGGTATGATGGAAGCATCCACAACACGGAGATTCTTAATACCTCGCACTTTTAAATTTACATCCACAACAGCATCTTGGTCAGAGTCATTGCCCATTTTACAGGTTCCGCATTGGTGGTAAAAGGTAAAAGTCGTGTAGCGAATTGAACAATTCCAGTATTCGTCGGAAGCGAATTCATACCCCTCGCACGGAGGTAGAGGAACTGGGTAGAGTTCTGCGGCGTACCTCTGAAAGGCGGAGGTGTTAATCAGTTGAAGCGAAGTATGGATTCCACTTATAATAATATCCGCATCGTATGGATCAGTCAGATAGTTGTGGTACAGCACCGGAGCGTCCGTAGGGTCCGAACTTCTGAGAGTAACACGACCCCGACTTCTTGGGTGCATGATCATAGGGAATATCATGAAAGAATCCTTATTAGCTAACGGCTCGTAGGCAGCATATATTTCAGAATTTCCACCCCAGGCATCCCAAACAGGTTTCAGTGACGGAAGAGTACTCGACGCAAAGAGTATTTCTATATCTGGAACACCGGCGGTGCTGTCACTGCTACTAGTATTTAGTTCCTGAAAGACAAGTGCTTCGACGCCACCTGGTATCGCAAGGGGCCCGGTGCGACTTACCAAGTACTCTGCAACGTCGAACAAATCTCCTAGAATGTCGTCAAAACGAATACCAATCGACGAGTTTGCTGTGAAATAAAGGTTTCCAAGGCTGATGTGGTCCTGCAGGTTGAAACCTACTTTTGAGTCCTGTAAAACTTTGATTCCCAAACTCTCGAGCTCTTCTCTGGGCCCGATTCCGGATAACATCAACAGCTGAGGAGAGTTTAAGGCACCCGCAGAAAGAATCACTTCCTTTCTAGCGCGAACTTTTAGTGTTAGTAAATTCAACAATTTATACTGTACGCCGTAAGCTGTGCGACTCTTTGAATCAATAAGGATTTTGGTAACGAGACTATGCGTCAGGACGTGCAAGTTCTTCCTCTTCCTCGTAGGCTCCAGGAACGCACGATTTCCACTGAATCGCAACCCATCCTTCGTGGTTGTCTGGAGAAATGAATATCCTATTTGATTTTCTGCATTATAGTCAGTTCTATCGAATCCTATTTCTTGGGCAGCCTCGTTGAAACTCCGCGCAGATTGGGTGCGATATGGAGGGTAAGAGATGGCCAGTTCTCCAGACGTGGAATGGTATACCGTATCTGCAGCCAAACGCGGAATAAGCATGTCCTCAAACTGGAGGAAATACGGTAAGACATCGTCGTATCCCCAGCCTTCAGCCCCTCCCTCTGCCCAGCCGTCATAATCCTTGCGATTTCCTCTCGTGTTCACCATATAATTGAGAACACTGCTGCCACCTAAGACTTTGCCACGTGGCCAGTTGCACTGACCGCCAACCAGGCCGAGGCAGGCTGTTGATGACGGCTCTGTCTTATAACCCCAGTTTATCGGCGTCAACTGTGCAAGTGCTGCGAACAGAGGAATGTCCTCCAGAACGCTCTCTTCTCCGCCAGCTTCGATCAGTAACACCGACCACTTAGAAACCTCCGACAGCCGTGAAGCCAGCAAGGTTCCAGCCGCACCGCCGCCCACAATGATGAAGTCGTACTCGGCAAGCTGACCCGCGCATCCCCCACTCAGGATGAACGCAATCAGCATAAACAAATTCGCATTGCTTCAACGTCTCTCACTGAAATTTTAATGAAGTTCTCATCCTTTCATATCTCATTCGGCATTAATCCCTGAAAATACGAAAATTTGGTGTCGATAATTCTTTGAATAATGTAAAATAGCATCATGGCGGTTGCTTTAGAAGAAAAATTGCAACAATCCTTCACACGATCGGGAGGACCTCTTACACGGTAGATCGGGAAATCAGAAAGTAACACACCACCAAAAACAATTGGCATACAAAGAATCCAGATCACAGGAGAACAATGAAAATGCAGTGTTTGCGCCTCGGTCAGTGGTATAAGGATACTGTCTCAGTGCTAGGGTTCTGACCAACCCCTCTACAGTGAATAAGGCTACATGAAATTGTGTAAAACTATTCTGGAGCCATAAATATACAGGCAACTGGTATCACCCAGCGTACGCGCTAACGGTGCATCGCGTGGCTTCTCAACCAAAGAAGACATAACTTTTACTGCGATGTCTCGAGCACGATTCGAAAGTGGAACATAAGTTTTCTTTGGCGAAGTAAAAATTATTCTTAAAATTCGATATCACGGAGAAGCCTGAACAGAATTACAATGCTTATGGAAAATCACGCAGCTTATGTCTAAATAAACAGCCCATGCTACTATTACAAAATGGAGTCGAAACAGTGGGCACTGTTGCTCGAGCCACGAGCACGCGGTAGTTTCATGTGGACTCCATGTGCCTTGGTCCGTTGCCTTTACACGTGTTTACGATCGCCATTTTATTATAACTGCTCAGGTAACACACCCGAAAACATGCCTTTCAGAAAACAATTCTTTTCTGGCACACGTCATAAGAGACAAGTCATAATATTCGTTTAACGTAACTAACTGAGTCCTACAGTGGATCCATACATCGAGTTTCTTTTTAAAGTTTTTAATATGATAAAAATTATAAAAACCTGGCATGGTCATATTTCCTTCAAGTACAATGTCGTGTTTTATACTTTTTATGGCCTACAAAATTACCTCACTAAAATATTTTCTCAACAGCATTCCGAGATCTATTCGTGTACCACACAACCAAAAAGTACTGTGACGTAGGTACGCCATTTACTTACAGTCGTTATGTTCATGTTATTTATGGAATAAAATTAAGAACTAGAAATTGGTTCAAAATTATTCACGTGGAACAAACAAGGACACACAGCTGGGTATGCCTGGCTGTCTATGTGGAGGTACTGGGTTCAAATCGCTAACCCGGGGCCGAACACGCAGGCCTGCCAAAATTTATATTACTCTTTCCTATGCTTGCTGTATAAATACACAGGTACAAATGTCTGCAACGAGAGTTAACAATCAAAATGGCTATCAAATCTAAAAGTTCTTGACGATGGTGAAGAGTCAATTGAATAAAAATTTCCTTGGATATTATCCATCGTCTAGTAAATATAAAACGTAAAACGACGTTTCGGAGATGGGACTCTTATCTCCGTCTTTAGGTTCCTACACAGTTGGGCCCACTAGATAGAGCTAATCCCTATCTCCGGACCGGAACCTGAAGACGAAGATAGAGTCCCATCTCCGAAACGTCGTTTTTACGTTTTATATTTACTAGACGCTGGATAATATCCAAGAAAATTGTTATTCAATATAAATGGCGTTCACGAAGAATCAAAGAATACTTGTCACCATTTATTTCTGAATGTTTCACCCCCTCTTCTGTCTAGAGCGTAAAGATTAAAGTATGAAAAAGTAACTTTATCATTATTATTATTATTTATTGTTATGTGTGGGCGTGAAGCTTTATTTTTCACGTTGATCATAAATTGAAGAAATCCACGTAACTGATGCACATGTACAACGCCATCTATTCTAAATCATGATCAGTTTTACCAATAAGAAGTTTGTATTTTGTCATTCCATAAGCTTAACCATTATCAATACAACCCATTTGAACAAATTTTCCTCACAGACAGGAGTTCATTACCAGGCATGAATTCTCCCTAACAGGAAATTCTGGCAGCAGATGCAAGGGGATGGAGTACCGAGTACGACGTGCTTTGTGTTGTTACCGTGCAGAGCGAATTTCACATGAAATATAACTACACGAAAAAGTTTGACAAATGTTCATTTAAACGAAATTGGTACAGGGAAACTAATTCGACTTGACAACCAAACGTCTGCAGAATGATCTACACGAACGCGGCTCTGACAGACAAAATACGTGTGGTAAGACCCGTTAAAATGTCTTTACCTTAAGTTCGGTTCGCTCGCAAGCAATATCACGAAACTTATCAGAGACAGAATATTCAAACCCATCACGGTCTGTTATACAGACCGAGCCATAGCCTACCTGCATGGCTTCTGATCCCATGTTGGTCTTCTTGAAGAGGTCTCTAAAACGAAACTTCGTTATAATGCCTCTAAGTACGAACGCGTTCTTTTATATGCCTTCAAGAACGCATGTGTCACGTGACGTTGCCGATAAAACACAAATCTACAGCAAATTCATTATTTTAATGAAACCACGATGATAAACTGTTTCGCCCAAGCCATGTCATGTCAGAATTCTGACACTCTATATTTACTTCTATTTGCAAACCTAAGTAATCTGAATAGTGTAAATTACGACCGTCCTCCAACAATAAATACCTTAACAGAACCCATTATATATTTTGACAACGCAAGTCTCATAATTTCTACGAAACACTTTGACGACTTCTATGCAACATCAAACATTGTTATCTGATATGAGTAAGTGATTTACTGCTAGTAAGCTTGCCCTAAATCTATATAAAACAAATATAATAAAATATAATGTAAATATAAATTATATAACATAGTATAATAAAACATAATGAAATTTATAACAAATAACTCGCCACAACATTCTTTAAGCATGTTAATTTATTTTCATTGAACAATAAATTAGGGGTGAGTCATCATCTAACAGCAAAAATATGTACATTTACTTTACGAAAGAAAGTTTTCAGATTAATGGCTGGTGTCAAACCTTACAGAGTTGGGCATTTTCATGTTTATACACATTATCATTAATAAACGTCACTGTTAGTAACCAAGAGCATTTTAAAACTAATTCTACTGTACAAAGTGTCAAGACAAGACACAAGAACCAGCTTCATAGACCAAATGCCAACCTCTCATTCTTCATAAGAGTTCATAACATGCATCCATCAACATTTTCAACATTTACCATCAGGTCTCATGAGTCTTCTAAATAAAAAGGCGAAATTTAAAGCAGCGTTAAAAAGAATTTATAATTTTTGCAAGAAAATCATAATGTCCATTAACGTTTCCTTGTGTTCATCTAATAATAAACGGATAGTATAATTTATAAACTGTATGTAATGGGTGGATGCATCTGTAAAATATAACTAATTATATAAACCTTTGTTTATAATACTTATGAAACTTTATAACAGTATAAATTGCATTACGCATTGCATTATTATGATACATCCTACTGTCATATGATTAACTTATGGATCTATGGAATTTAATAAACAAATAAAGTCGGATGAACAAAGCAATGTGTCACAGGGGAGAGAAGAAAGGGGGCAAAGCCCTTTGGTTGAACATAAAACACAAATTTTCACGTGTAAAATGCAGTGCAGAATGAAGGATTTGAGGTTTCCGCGGCAGTGAGTCTAAAGATGGCGATCATCGACCTGATGATGGAGGCAGCAAGGACCTCTACAACGTTGGTGAACTTCTACCAGACTACACGGCGCTACAACCCAGAAGTCTTGCCGCCGTGAAAACCTCAAATCCCACTATTAATTTTCATTACTGTGTCCGATACAAATCCTTTGTAAGATGTGTCGTATCTCAGAAAATCAACACAGTTCTGAACTTCATCATAAGTTAGGGTTATAAAGGCAGCTTTATGTTCAGAAGTCCAGTAGCAAACGAAACATTGGGGCAGAAACTAAAGATGGACACGATTTTAAATGCACATTCGAATTTTGAGCAATTTTCTTTCGCACAGCGTATCAGCAGCTGAAATTTTGTGTACAATCATTACTAGATGGGCTCTGTAGACGAGAAAAATTTCAGGTGATGTTTCGAAATGACCAACCGGACCATTCCTTTGTAAGACTGGGTCGGTTGACACGCAGACAACAGATGCTGTCCCTTCGCTGGCCCTCTCGTCGTCTTGGTAGTCGCTACGACGTGCCGTGTAATCGCGTAGATACAACGCATTGGACGAGTGCATACGAGTCTCCTGAAGGCAGACGATGGCTGGGTTCTGATAGCGAATTAAGGACGGCGTGCCAGGGAGCGGCATCCGGAAGCTATTGACATTCCAAAGAGTATCCATGATGGATGGCCATGAATACACTGCAGGCATTAAAAAGGGAAACTCTACATCACTTTGAAAGGTGATCACTTCAGTCTAACTCTGTGTTTACCTCTCAGAGTGCCGAAAGTGTCCGTCTGCAAGTCAGACGTATCTGAGGAGGAATCTCATAGTTTTTACGTGTTCCTGACCAAGACCGGGATTGGCGTGGTTTCTTGACGGGAGACTTTTGTTGACTACTCCGGGGATGTCCCTCCTAATGTTGGGTGTTTCACACTGACGTCGTGGTTGGGAGATTTTCAGTGTGGGTGGAAACCTAAAGATTGTATGGAGACTGCAGTTCGTGAGAGGAGTTGAGCAATGCGTGATCTCGACCTGGATAGAGTAAGACCCAAGGAGATTAGCTTTTAATAGCGTCTATGCTTGTCCTTCAAAGTGGATGTCACAAAGCTTGGGGTCGGCATTCTTACATTAACAGTTTTATCGGTCGGGTTTCTGCTCTAAGGCTTCTATTGTTTTGAGTTTGTTGGGCGCACGGGAGTCACTTTGCAAATGTCCCAAATCCGCAAGAGTAAGCGTGGGATAGAGGGCAACGGACACCAAAATCTTCCGGTCTGTGCCGGCGTGCGGACCGCCACTACGACCCGAACTCATGACGTAATTCAGAGACGTTACTCCACCAGAAGTCACTGACAATTACGAACCTGATGGCTTTGGCTTCATGCCCCTATCATGAAAATAACATCCCATGGCTCCCTAACTCTACGCCATGCAAACTTGTGGTTGATTACACCGCTCTCGCAGTTGGCGGTAACACGTCAGGGCGGCACGGCCATATCACCGATTACACTACCTTCAGGGAGTCTATGCCGCATGGGCCCCAACCGAGGCACTAATTGGGCGAACGTGACTTATGGTCCGGGGTCGCACCTAGACCAGTATATAAGGGCAGTGAGCAGAGTCCACTTAAGCCTCATTCCAGTGTTCACTGTAGTGACGCACAAGCTTGAAGTCTCGCCGAAACCGCGCTACAGAACAACGGAGACATGAGATTCATAAACCTAATAATCCATATTTAAATTTTTTTTTATATATTTTTTATATTTATTTATTTATTTCATTTCGATAGAGAATATCATTTAATATATTTTAAATATTTAAATGTTAATTATGGTAATATTTTTAATAGGAATTTTATTGTGATTAGACTGACAAGATTTAAATATATATTTATCACAATATGACGCAACTTTATCATATCATAACCTAATAATCCTTTAACTGGGTAGTTTACGAACCTAGGAGACACGAAAGTGGAACAAGTTTAGTCGATGGAAAACTTTGAGAGTCGCCAAATCGGTCAGGAAGCAGGCCGACCTACCTCGACGGGATATGATTGAGAGTTCGCATCGATTGGCCTTAGCAGTATCTCTTTCACATTCTAGATATTCACTGGACAAGAAATTAAAATTCGGCATTGACTCCGTTTATTATATTTGCATTTCTTGATTATATGGACTGTCGCTTTATAGTTGAATACGACTCAGTCAACATTTTGTTTTCCGTTTGCACCAACATAGTTGGCTGAAAGCAAGACTGCCTGTCAGTTTTGTTAAAGTTTTGGAATAACAGGAATGAAAAACTGATAATGTTACTTGTGAGTTTCTGTTTTGTTCGTTCTTATATAAAAGCACTCAATACGTAAGATGCAGAAAATTCGATCTTTTATGGAAACTAATTCAATAACGAACCTTGTTCTGAGATAGTAACACTTCTGGATTTCTCCTCTGAACACATCAGAACCGATTGCTATTTCATATATGACTGGTATAAACATCAATAACACCACCTCAACAATAATGTTATATTAATAATATCTAGACACAACTTCCATAAAAATATACTGTGAAAGATGATAAAAGAATAAAATTGTAAAAACTATAAATAATTGTAATTTAAGTTTAAAAGTTTATAATTTACACCTGATGACAGTTTCATAAAACCGAAACATGTTGTGAATGTTCCGATGTAAATCGAATGCTCGATAATGGAACATAAGATGATATTTTAATCATTTTAATTATCTTATCTTACTATTTTATTGTGATTTGACGGTAAACAAATATAATAATTATTTTATTTTAATTAATATCACAATATGACGCAACTATTACTATCTCTTAAATTTTGTCAGTATACCTGCGCGCTGGCTTCATACTGCAATGCTCTTAGGATACAATAAATGTTGCATAGCAGTAAGTGCCGTGGATTTTCAGATCATAACAGCGGTTATGGTAGTTTACGTCGAAACTCCGGGCACTTGGGCGTTCCCCGTGGTGTTAGCTGTGACGTCATCCTCACCTGGAGTGACGCCAGGTCTTCGGAGGTTGTTGGAGGATGAGAGAACAGATTTTATGATCTTGTTTCATGTGAAACTGTTGATGAAGAAAGACATTATGAAGTTGCCGGTAATTAAGTCGCATGTCAGTCTGCAGAACGATAATCAACAAAGAACTTTAACCGGTCGGGTATCCATATTGAGAATTCGTATCAAATTGTACGATCTTGTAACAGATATACATATTTTTTACCGACGGTAAAAGGTTCGGCCTCATATAAGAGTAACGGTCTATACTTGTATTTCAGAGATTCCCAATTCGAATCTACGCTGGGTTACCAACCAACAGTATTAACAGAGATACTTAGTAGATTTCCGTGGTAGTCTCATTAAAAGTTTTTATCCACTCGCCATCTTTAAGAAAATTTACTATTCCATTCGATCCTGTACGTGTTCTTTGCACGAAGTGCGTAAGAAGAACGCATTATGGGCTGGTCGTGTCTGTCCCTCCGTCAGTCCGTCTGTCCAGTCGAGTCAACTCGAGAACCACTGGACGGATTTGGATTATATTTGGTCTAGAGTCGTACTTCTAAATATTCGTGACAGTTCTGTATATTTTCAGCTAAATTTCATACTTAGAGAATGTCTACATTCGCAACCACGGTAATTCAGTTCAAATAAAAGGGGATAATTTTGTTTTCCAGTTGAGAGATTTTTAGCGTCTGAAGAAATGCTCTTCTTAGCGGAGGATATTACAAACTGATTAAATGATTCAACATCTACACAAAAATCACTGATAATGTTAATAAATTCCATATAAACCAACACCCTTTGTCAAAATACACTTCATTAAGTCGTACTTTTTCTTAAACAATTAATTCTCCAATGCATTATTTTGTATAAATCCTCTATTAATGATCAAAGGCGACGTGTTGTAGCTGAAAAATGTCTTGCTGCAATATTTTACTGGAAAAAATCTGTTTCAACTGCAGAGATTATACTCATGTTGAATTAATGAGATGTTAAAGATTATTATAAATGGTGAGCAGCGAAGAATTCGGAATTAAGTGACCTACTTGAAGCAGGGACGCCTTGTTGTCAACAAAAGAGACAATGAAGCAAGAAGAAACCCTCAGCCCTGATGGTGGTTCGCGGTCGGAATTCGAGCGGACAACACAGAAGTTGCCGATACACTGCACTGCTTGTGTAAACGTATTTCACTTCCTTCAAGAAGATGGATTCTGTAGCTCGGAAGCTAAGCATGGTTAACAGAACGGCAAAGTCTGTTACTTCGGCGAGGAGACCACGGAAACTACAGTCTCGAACCCAAAAACTGGCCTGGGTTCAAGTCCCGGCGAAGATGCTAGGTTTAGGGAGAATAATACGTTTTACTCTGTGAAGATGTTACGGATCGAACGACCAGGCCTGTGAGAAAAAGAAATCGGGCAACAGAGACCGGAAAAAAGTAATAATTTGTCAAATTTAATGGGGCACTTTGCCAGTATAGGATTTCATTCGTTATTGGTCTCATGGTGTACAGCTGTATTGAACATATATTTAAGTTGCTTTCAACTTTTAGTAGTTTACGGTCTGTAGAACAGTCTCTGGATTGTCCTGCAGGAAAGTCGGATGGACGGGGTGGTTTGAGATTGATCAGCTCGGAAATCAACCACTCAGCGGTCGACTCTGAAGGACTTCAAGTGATGGATTTCTGTTCTTAAGTTGGCTCATCTCGGTCGATCTTCCACGTTTTCAGACGATTTGATTAATTTTAGTGCCTTTCCTGATAGTTCGGGAATAGCATTTTTGAATGTAGGCCTGATTTTGTATCCGTAATTCACTATCAATGCTCCAGCCAATTCAGTTTCTTCGGAGAATCAGACGATAATTGATCCATGGCTTTCCAGTTCGGTGTCCGTCTGTTCAGGAATTCGTGAAATGTCGGCGACGGTTTGTATAATGTATTAAACCACTAGAATCCAAACTACACAACAAAACCTTATTTTAGTAAAGTGAAGCTGTCCCGCTATACGCCATGTTGGCGCTAGATAGGGGAAAGTGGTTAGAGTCACGCCCCCGGCCGGCTTTACCCCCGGGAAAGGACCCCGGTACCCATTGTAGAGGAGGCTGGGTGTACCCCAGAGCCAATATGTACGCAGAGGACAGAGGAAAAATCCTCTGCGCTCGTCGGGGATCGAAGCCAGGTCGTCCAGTCCGTAGTCAGTCACTACACTGACTGAGCTACTCAGGCTCCTATTTCAATAAGGTCTATTTTAATATTATTTTCCTAACTATTTCTTGGTCTACCAAGCTGTCTGTTTCCTCCAGGCTTTTAAACCAAAACTGCTCATTTTAATGCCCCCCATAAGCGCTACATACCCCGCCATCCTCCTTATTCAAGTCGTCATAATTATATTTACTGGTAAGAACAAACTATGGAGCTCGTCATTTTTTTCATTTCTCTCGAAACTGCAGTCACTTCATCCCTCGTAAGTCCAAGTACTCTCCTCAGCACCCTCTTCTCAAACACCCTCAACGTAAAAGACAGGGTTTTTTAAACTTCACATTTTTGGATAGCAGACAAAGACTGAATTCTAGCAAGCATTCCCCGAATTTAGTCTGCTCTTAATTTCCTCATAAATGTCATTTCATTTTGTTACCGTTCGTAAAAGATTCAACGTGTAGCGAGGAAATTTATTTGTAAGATGTAAAATAAAATTTCAGTTGTATAAAATATTCATCAGCTGCCATTAACCATCACGACTGATGGATTGGCTGTGATGTAACCTTGGCAGCGATGATAGTAAAATGTCAGGACTATAGTGACAAGTCAAAATTATATTCAAGTAAAGTTAATGTCAGATTAAATTCTGAAAGTGCCATTCAGTTCAGAACCATGTTTGTCTCCTTCGTCATTCTCAAAATCTGATAATTAAAACAGTGAACTTAAATTTTTTTTCTCTTGTTTTAGGGGTACCTGAAACTCTCACTTTCCGAAAGAACGCAAACTGAATGTGTCTGAGAAAACTGCTAAGGAAAGTATTGAAATTAAAATTCATTTGAATTTTCCATCCACATATAATCAACATGATCAAGTCAATTTCGGTTCATGGCGGGTTTGAAGAATTCCCGGAGAAAATTAAAAATTCGTACAGCATTTATCCATAAGATAGTGTAATTGCGTCATATTGTGAATATTATATAAATTATTTATTTTAATCCGTCTGATCACAATATAATATTTTATTTAAAATTTATTATAATTAATATCCGGAAAACCAAAATATAAGAGACCACTTGGGAGACTTAAGATTAGGTGGCACTACGAGACCCAATCAGAGACGCACGGTGACGAACCTTAGACAAACTGCTGCAAAATTCTTGATCAGAATGTGACTGTCAGGTTACTCTGTAAAAAGACCTGATGATCGAGGCAGCATGCACCCCTGAAACGTCGGTAAACTTCTACCAGACGGCGCAACAACCCAGATGACAGCGAAAACCTCAAATCGTAGGAAATGAAGTCGCTTGTATTATTCGGCTGGTCTCATTTAGAGCTCATTTGCGTTTTGTTTGTACGGGGTCTTGTGCGCGTAATGGCTGCTACACGCCTACAAACAGTCGACAAACAATGTTTGCAAACAGTTTATCGACTGTATTTTGCTTTCCACTTGTAACCGGAAAAAAAAAAGAAACACCGAATATTAGCTTGGAGAACGATATTTGGTTTCAAAATGTTTTCCACCAGTGTGTTCGGGTGTGTAGGAGCCTTAAAATAAAAAAAAAGATTGCTTGATAACATCACGTTGGTTACGCCAAAGAGAGTCAAGTGTACTGTCACCGCGTTGTAAATATTTTCCCCATGAGATTCATTTTGTAATTTCATCAACCGTCACTTCGTTCTCTGACACTAAATGTAAGTGCAGTTTAGGAACACACAACACTTCGAAAATACATTCTGACTGTGGCCAATTCCAAAATTTTTCGACAATGGATACCTTCAATTCTAAAGGGTTTTAACACCGGTAGTTTACATCTAAAATTATTCTTTGTCAAGACTTTTTTCATCGTCTGTTCTTTAAAATCACGACGTTTCGGAGGCTGGTTCTGTCTCCGTCTTCAGGTGAGAGGTACCTACTCTACTACTAAGGGACCCAACAGAGTATGTACCTCTCACCTGAAGACGGAGACAGAACCAGCCTCCGAAACGTCGTGATTTTAAAGAACAGACGATGAAAAAAGTCTTGACAAAGAATAATTTTAAATGGATACTTTTCTGCATCATTTAATTTCGGTCTATGTCCACTTGAATAGGTTCATGCCAAAATGACTCAAGTGTATTATAAGATTTTTTCTGAAAAGAACTATTTTCAACATTGAAACAGTTTTTGTTTTTTGGATAATTCTTCTTTCTCGAAATTGTCAATTTTATTGATTTTATTTATTATTGGCCCTTATACTATAAAACCAAGAAACCAAAGTAGTTATTAAGTTTCTTTCATGCAACTGCATTATACATCTTGAGCACAAGTTACATTACAATTTAAAAGAATTAATGACGTTTTATTTAAGTAACGTACTCGAAAACAAATTTCTCTACAACATTGGAACAAAATTCAAATTTTCCTACGTACTGTTGGAGTGTCCAGGCCTTTCCCTAAAAGACGTGGAGATCCTATGAATTACTAATGGCGGATTACAATAGGAAGGAGCGTGCTTTTTGCTGTTCTGTACATGAAGAAACGCATTCATCGACCGCTGCAGAACGTCGTTACCAAATAAGATTTGAGGAGCTGTCTCCTGGCAGTGTGTTCAATATTTGGTGGCATTCGCAGTTCAAAGAATGAATAATTCTTCGGGAACAAATCGTGTTTATTGAAGAAGCTACTTTTCACGAAAGTGGTTAGTACCCATTACTAACCATGCGGGGATAAGAATCGCCCGGGTTCGTAGTTGAACATCATCACCGCCTTCCGAAACTAAACAGCTATAAACAAAAACTTTGATGTTGGACAACTGTTGTAAAGCAATCTATTTTCCAATACGTGGTCTGAATAAAAACCTTTTAAATCTGTACTGTAATTTTCGGTCGCCCTTCAACGTTCGTGCCTCTTTAATTAAACTGTAGTCAAACGACTCACACAGTTTTTATTAAAAAACATTTTAACAATCTCCTACTCACCCCTCCTACGCGATGACTTCGAAGATACTTGTCTTCTTAGCGCATGGAGACCGCACGCATAAGAACGAAGACTGCAGACCAACCAAGTCCTCACAATAGCAAATTATGAACGACACACGCAAAACAGTCAAACTGGGCACCAGAACAGCATTCAACACAAGAAACAGATGAGTCTTCACAGCCAATATGTCTTTTTAAGAAATGTAGACTTTTTTCACGAGAATAAAATGCACATCACTTGGCTTGTAAATCTTAATTTGTGGAAATGACATTAAAGAATCTATACACATCGCAGTATTGATCCCGAAGATTATAAATGTTACGAATAAAATCACAGATAATATCCAACTGACAAAGAAATGACATAGTCAGCACATCATAAATATTATTAATTTAAATTAAGGAACATTAAAACTGTTGTCGAAGGAATTGTGAATAACTCTGAGAAGTTTATTTGGCCATGTGTCGGACAGTTTCGATTGCAGTGGTCAAATAAACATTAGTTTTTTCGTAACAGACCCTTTTATACTTATCTGATACTAAAGAAATTTTGTGATCTTGTTTCAGTTCAAAAGTTCCCAAAGCAAACTCATGATTTAAATTTGGTTTTAATGCACGTTTACAATAGATCACAGTTGGGCCATGTTACATTTTGTGGCGACTTCAGTGTATACAAAACCAGTTACTTGTATCAACTTAACTGACAACAGTCTATTATCCTTAACAAATTGCTTTACTGTAGTACTGACCTAGATACTTCATTCGAAATAAGGACATAACGTGTTAAAACCTTTCATCTTGCGTATCATGTCATTAAATATGATTTATAATTAGGATCACACACAAAATTAAATATTCAAAGTAAAATGTTTCGTAAACAAACTTCACAACTCTTCTTTAATGATGACAATGGACCCGCGAAAATCTCTCACTGCTTATGGAAGTCACAATCACACGCCACGTGTCAATTCCTGAGCCCCTATCGTAAACGCCAATAACGAACACATCCTACCGCCACAACCTGCGACAAGCGACTGTGGAACTCCGCAGAACCAGCGAGCGACTGAGGGGAACGCGCATCGTACACAGAGACACCGCGCACAGTTACCGGAATGGTCTGAAGATGAATAGGTCTGCGATTTAAGAAGTTTCAAAACGTTGCCGTGTAGAAAGAATATTACACCTGAAGATGTCTGTCTTCTGGGTTGTTGCGCTGTGTAGTCTGGTAGATGTTAACCAACGTTTCGGAGGTCATACTGCCTCCATCATCAGAGTATAAAGATTTCTGTCTTCTGGGTTGTTGCACTGTGTAGTCTGGTCGATGTTTACCAACGTTTCAGAGGTCATGCTGCCTCCGTCATCAGGGCGATGAGTATGAAGATTTCTGTCTTCTGGGTTGTTG